ATATTGGGTCCACAGCTAGTCACTCGATGGGTATGGGGTCCACAACCACCCGTAGGATGGGTATGGGGGTCCAATACCACCCCTAGGATGGGTATGGGGTCCACTACCACCCCTAGGATGGGTATGGGGTCCACTACCACCCGTAGGATGGATATGGGGTCCACTACCACCCCGAGGATGAGTATTGGGTCCGCTACCACCCCTAGGATGGGTACAGGGGTCCACTACCACCCGTAGGATGGGTATTGGGTCCAGTACCGCCCACAGAATTAGTATGTAGTCAACTACAATACCCACAGGATGGGCATTGTTGATCAATGTGTCACAATTATGTCATAATCAATGAGACATAATTACTATGGTATCCAAAGGACAGGTTGGCGATTTGGCCGGTGTTCAGGTCCTTTCCGGGGAGGATTGACTGGGCGCCAATCCTTAACTATAGCCTCTGTTCATCTAATAGCGAACGATTGTGAAACGATTTGGCGGGTCGTATACCAGGGAAAATTAGGATTAAGGACCTTGCCCCGAAACGGTATGCGTGGTAGTGGCTTTACAAGAATGTAAGAAACACTGCGTTTCTTACAAGCGTCTGGAAGACATTACCGGGCAACACTAGACATCAAGTTAAACATCTATGTGAGCGAGTTTGGGTGGATATAAATAGCTGCTGCTTCGTATGGATCAAGCAGCCATAGGCAGCTTGATCCATAGCTCTGCTGTTTTATTGTGTTATTTTATATTAAATTTGTAAGTTGTGTATTTCATTTCAATTGCAAATTTTTTTTGTTTATGAATTATTCAAATTTGGTTTACTGCGTTGAATGACAAACCTGTCAGATACTCATATTAAAAGTCTGAATATTATTGAATATTCCATTCAATAATTTGTATGTAAATATTTGTAATAAATTGATTTAAAACACATTATTACACAGCCTAATTTTGTTTTCTTTTCCCTATTTCAATATTTTCCTGAATAACAACTAAAATTAAAGGTTATACAGCAGTATTGTACACGAGTTAAAGAAGAGTGTTCAGTAACTATTACACGAAATTATATGATAATAATACTTTATGTTTGGAAAAAATAGTTTGAATAAACTATTTGGCCGAACACAGCCTAAGAACGGGTTGTGCAAATAAAAATAATTACCAACAAATCTAAAGCCTAATAAACCTAGGTGCAGCTATTTATAAATTTCCAATATGGAATACTAATTTGTATTTTAACAAAAGTGTAAATTTTCAATCTACATCACGGTATAATTGATGACTGTAGTGAGGGTTGAGTTCAAGTATGTTTATTGAGACAAGAAAGAAATACATCTCAAAGGGATAGAGTAGCTTAGGCTATTTCTACCCCGCCTGAGGACTGGGTAGCTGCTGCATAACCGCCAACAAGAGATTATTAATCGTATATTAAGACAATCGACTTGAGAATGGTCCAGGACGGACCGAAACGTCGTCGTCGTCCCTTCACTTTCTAGTGTGTGGTTTGGTCAAATGATGCTTTGGTAGACAACTATTCCACTCAGTCTAAGAGATCCGTGTCTAACTACTCCCCAACTTGCTAAAAAACTAATCATTCACATCTAACTCTAATCAAATGTACCACGAGGTAAGCAAACCATTTAGAGAATCAATACATCACCACCACCGGCCCTTCACCCCTAACAGGTCTCTGTATCAATGCAACTATATTAATAATTTACATTCAAACTGGCAAAAACCGCACATGAAGAGTGACAAATGACACATGCCTCCTAAACTAATTTGTCACTGCTCATTAAGCTCTAATTAAAATGGGCTACTTGTAGCGCAGTCGCTCATAGCTAATTGGGCCCAGCTTTGGTTACCGGTATGGACGAGAGACATATACACACACACACACACATCTTATACATGTTGCCTCTGGTCACCTAGAGGTGAATATGCACCTGGGAGGTGGATAACCGCTGTGGCTTACGGGTCATTCTTGCCCGTGCCACCTCTTGGTTGGCTTAATCTTCATCAACCAATCAATCAATCAACTGTTGTGGGTCGCATTCTATAGGAGGTCAATCTAATTTGATTACCACGCCGCCGGGGTCCATATATTTTGTATACTGGTGTACAACTATCGTCATAACCTTAACACTGATGTCCCACAAGCACGCTCACGCATTCTTTTTATATTTAAAAGTTATGAAATTGATGTACTTTATTTTTCATGGAAAGAAAAGTTCAATTTACTGTTCACATTTTCATAACTTTTATCGTCCACAAATTTATTGATGTTCGAGGGTTTTGATGTGAGTGACAAGTTGCGTCGACCAAGAATATATCAATGTGAAATACCGTAAAAAAAATATTATTCAAATCGAAGCCTAGTTCATGGAGAACAATTCTTCGCTCTGCGTTTCAACGATTGTTTTATTCATTTAAGTATTTTTTGCCAGTGTTTTCATATTTTGGGTTTATTTTGAGGGGTCAGTCTTCTGCGTGGCGGTACAACGAATGTCTGAGCGCAGCACCTTCGTAGCCTTGATTAATGTAGCTAACCTAGCAAGAAATTAGCAAGTTTGTTAGAAAAGATTTGTTTTCCAGAAACGCACGATGTGTTTGACAAAGAAGTGACGGAGGTGGTTGAAGATTGCTTCACTCACAACTCTGGCAGTTCCCAGCAGCCATTCTTTTGTCTTCCTCGAGAACTGTAGAGACCTTTACATCTTTCCAGTCTCCTGGTACTAACTTTTTACCGTTTTTTTTTCTGAAAAGCAATTTCGGTGTGATATATAACCCGTCAGCGACAACTTTCATCTATTTAGACAGAATTCCATCCAGCGTGGAGTGCTTCAGTGTGGTGGTGTCTCTCTCTGACACTTCCTCATGAAATAGCAATATTCCTCAGCTCACGTTCAGTGCCTACCCCCAAGTGGTGTGACTATCATAAGTATTGTTACCTCAACAAATTCAAACCTGCACCTGAAGTTATACCGGAAATACTGTGTGTAACTTTAGTGGCTTTATGTAATGTACAATTGCTGTACCTACTAAAAAGCCATAAACACAATCCTTTGTATATTTTATAAATATACTATTTCACCAAATTTTCCTCAATTTTAAATGTTTTCCATCAGTGCAACAATGGCGCACGTAAACATCTCCCCCTATGATGCTTTCTCTCAATATTAGAGCTTGACGCTCATATGCTGCCTTCATATTGAAGATCTGTAGCGTCCTCTCATGTCGCCTCTATACCATCTCCAGCACATGTTAACAGATTTAGCACATCACTGGCGGAGCAGTTTAGTCTTGATTACAGTCATATTCTCCTTTAGGTAGAACACACCACCACCTGTTAGTGTTCTTCAATGTGAGATTCTGTACAAGTGGACTTCATCTTCGCATACATCGCTGTTCTATGATACATCGCTGATACATCGCATTGTTAGTTCCTGTGATGGCAGGAACCTCTGCACACAGAAACGTTCTCTGTGCCTACGAGACCCAACGGCTGGCATTTGTGCACAGCCATTTTAATACCCTGGCATTAGTTTCATGTAGATGAGGCATAGCACGGTTACCGGTGCAGCTCTCTGGACCCACAATTGCGTGGGACTACCCATCGCATTGGTTCGAATCCTCATCACGGCCCCTACGGATTTTCTCACTGATACGTTAGTGTGATTACTGCGTGTACACCCACGTTATTTGCTGTGTACATCCACGTTATTACTCTGTGTACACCCACGTTATTTGCTGTGTACATCCACGTTATTACTCTGTGTACACCCACGTTATTTGCTGTGTACATCCACGTTATTACTCTGTGTACACCCACGTTATTTGCTGTGTACACCCACGTTATTACTCTGTGTACACCCACGTTATTTGCTGTGTACATCCACGTTATTACTCTGTGTACATCCACGTTATTACTCTGTGTACACCCACGTTATTTGCTGTGTACACCCACGTTATTACTCTGTGTACACCCACGTTATTTGCTGTGTACATCCACGTTATTCCTCTGTATACACCCACGTTATTATCAAATATCAATACCTCCCAAAGGTTCCTTTTTAGCTCACACATTTTAGTAATTATTTATATAAATTGTTGCAAATATTTTCTGATTAACACCTCCCATCTCCCCCATCCCTGCCACACCTAAAGGATGCCTCCCCTCCCACTGTACCCCCGTCCCACTGTACCCCCGTCCCACTGTACCCCCCCCACTATAAAGCCTAACGCTACCGTACTTCGTGTAAGCCGATCAATTGTTCATTTACATTGTGCCCGCATATAAAAGGGTATTGAATAACTTTAGTAGTCATGATGTATTTTTGCCGTTGGGCTTAATGTGTATCACCCTCGCAGGGGGGGGGGTCGACCTTGCAGGGGGGGGGTCGACCTTGCAGGGGGGGTCGACCTTGCAGGGGGGGGGGTCGACCTTGCAGGGGGGGGTCGACCTTGCAGGGGGGGGTCGACCTTACAGGGGGGGGTCGACCTTGCAGGGGGGGGGTTCGACCTTGCAGGGGGGGGTCGACCTTGCAGGGGGGGGGGGTCGACCTTGCAGGGGGGGGGGGTCGACCTTGCAGGGGGGGGGTCGACCTTGCAGGGGAGGGGGTCGACCTTGCAGGGGGGGGGGGGTCGACCTTGCAGGGGGGGGGGGTCGACCTTGCAGGGGGGGGTCGACCTTGCAGGGGGGGTCGACCTTGCAGGGGGGGGGTCGACCTAGCAGGGGGGGGGTCGACCTTGCAGGGGGGGTCGACCTTGCAGGGGGGGGGGTTGACCACTGGATGGAATAAATGAAGACTGAGGACGTTTAGGAGAGTCAAGTGCTCGGTTGCTTTGTAATAAAATAAGTAAAACTAGCCAGAGTTTATTTTGGGTTAGAATGTAATACAAAAAATGCCATGAAAGACACGTAAATCCCGAGTGTGGACTTGGTACCAGAAATACTGGCAGTCTGGTCGTGTACCTGTGGAGGAGGCGGCTTGGCAGCGCTGGTAATGGCGTCTTCCCGCGTACTTCCTGCTCAACAACAGGTGACCAAGACCACCACAGATGGCCCTCTTGTGTCCACTGTGGCATCTTGCGACTCGTCAGGTATCGCACTTTATTGCGAGAGATTGTGTTCAGGTGGACGGCAACTAGCGGCTGCTGGCAGCGACGAGCCTAATGTTATTACCACAGGTTTATCTCTTCTAAACTTTGGGTAATGTTAAGTGTATACAATTACCGAGGTGAACCACTTTAGTTCAGGTTGTTAGGTTAGGTAAGGCTAGGCTTGGCGGGCCAGGCTTGGCGGGCCAGGCTTGGCGGGCCAGGCTTGGCGGGCCAGGCTTGGCGGGGTCAGGCAAGCGATGAGAGAGACCAAGCTTACTTAGGCTTAGAGGGGCCGGCGCCACCTTTATCTTCCTCGTCAGTTTCCACATATTCGTATGACCAGATTTTATGTTTTTTAGCAACACATCGGTAGCCTCGATGACAGGGGTGAGGAGGGAGTGAGGGAGAGTACACACTGTGGCAGGGAGGGTACACTGGATGGCAGGGGGGGGGGGGGTAAGGGAGGGGTAGCTTCAATGGCAGGGGAAATCGAGTACACTTGGAGAAGGGGACTATCAGGGGGAAAGTGCCAAGCTATTAGACTATATAGCACTGGGAAGAGGTCAGGATAAGGATTTGGGATGGACTGCCTTCACGCCCTCCCGTCATCTCCTGCTTATACCTCCCTTGATGTGTGTTTACTCCGGGGGGTAAGGGGTAGCTGCAGCACAGGCACACTTGCTGGGGGGTTCTGGGTGTGGGGGTGTCGCAAGGAAGTGAAGCCAAATCTATACCTCCAAGAAAGTTATCTCCGTGGGAATCTTCTGGCAGGCGACGAGGCTTATTGGTCTTCTGTCACTGGCAGCTCTTCCAGGGATGGATCCTGCTTTTATGTTAGATTGCAGAGCACCTTGCTTGCGAGCCGGAGCGAGATTGCATCACTGGCCGTCAGATGCGGAGACCAAACTGCACACGAGGGGACAGAAGGCTGTCTTCCTCTTAGCTTGTCATTACCACTCCTTGTCATTACCTCCAGAACCCTATTGCATCCTCTTGAGATCCCGTCGCAACTACAGATTTAATAGGATACTCTTGTATATTAAGGCACTGCAGACGGAGACTTCCGCGGGAGCCAGGAAGATGATTCTCTTCGCCCTGGTAAGTCTGAGGGGTAGGCCTTCTCTCCCAGCCTCTTCGTGCTAGGAAGTTCTAGGTCTCTGGCCTAGCGTCTCATAGTTCTGCTAGACCGTCTCCGCCTGCACATTTAGGTTAATTTAATAACATAAAACTAACTTTCTTAGAGTTAAGAGAGTTATTCTGTTCATTCAGCGCCAGTAACCTCGTTGTAATGGTTGATTGTCCTTAAGACAATCACCTCGCGAGGGGTGATTGTCCTTAAGACAATCAACCCAGACTAGAGCTCTGTGTCTTCCCTGTGTTATCTTACGGCTGTAGGGAAGGCGCACAGGTATGGTCTAACACCCCATAGGTGTAGACCTCCATACCCCACGGGTGTGGACCATAATTTTCCTGAGGGAAAACCCCACCTTTGGTGATTCGGTGTCTGGTCCTGCCGTGGCACCGTGAAGCCTCCACAAGTGCCAACTTTGGTTTGCATTTCCATCCCAGAGACGCCGATTGCATTTGCATCAGGTTCCCCCGAGGGCTGCAACCTCCGCGAAACGTTACTTACAACCCAGGAAGCTTATAAACAAGTCGCTTGTGCCCCGCGGTGGAACGGCTTAGTCGAAGGGAAACTTGGGGTCGAACAAGCCTCCTAAACTTGAGTCGCTCATATTAGGATATCTAAACTGGAGAGATCCCAAATAATATTGTGAGTCTTATCTCTCACTTATGAGTTGGGTAGGAGTACGAGGTTCCCGGTGCTGGGTAGGGCTTGCGTCTTCCTTGGTTTGGATCCTTGTGAGAGTCCTTCCAGAGGTGACAATAAGAACGCTGCCTTACCGCACCGGGCGTTCAATATTTTCCAGAATCCAGAACTTTTCACGGGAGTGACGTTTAACATTCCAATAGTGCAGTGGGTACACGTTTATTTTTATTAATTCCATTGTAGTTTATAGTCTCTGTTTATGTCATATTTTATTGTATCTTTAAGGCCCATGTTAACTTTGGCAAGTGTCATCTTACTGGACGGGTGAGATCCTCGTATTGTTTCAATCTTGTTAAATATATATTAGTCACCATCATATATCACTATACATTGTAAATGTTGTTCCAAGCTCCAAGTGATAAGAGGAGACTCACAGACTGCCACAGTCTGAGGCTGACCGGGGAGGCCCATAAGTCTCCCATCGTAGCCACGGAATACCAAAAAATGAACGTTTCTCGGTTTCTCTTCTCTGGTTAAAATATTTTTTCGACTGAAAGGGAAGAAAAGTTTTTGAAATAAATCAGCCGGAATTGTGTGAGCGGCGGCCACTCGTAACCTCGCGAGGGGTGTATAATGGAGAGGCTCCTGGTGCTGGGGGAGGAGGCTCCTGGTGCTGGGGGAGGAGGCTCCTGGTGCTGGGGGAGGAGGCTCCTGGTGCTGGGGGACGAGGCTCCCTCCTGGTGCTGGGGGACGAGGCTCCCTCCTGGTGCTGGGGGACGAGGCTCCCTCCTGGTGCTGGGGGACGAGGCTCCCTCCTGGTGCTGGGGGACGAGGCTTCTGGTGCTGGGGGACGAGGCTCCTGGTGCTGGGGGACGAGGCTCCCTCCTGGTGCTGAGGGACGAGGCTCCCTCCTGGTGCTGGAGGACGAGGCTTCTGGTGCTGGGGGACGAGGCTCCTGGTGCTGGGGGACGAGGCTCCCTCCTGGTGCTGGGGGACGAGGCTTCTGGTGCTGGGTGGGACGAGGCTCCCTCCTGGTGCTGGGGGACGAGGCTTCTGGTGCTGGGTGGGACGAGGCTCCCTCCTGGTGCTGGGGGACGAGGCTTCTGGTGCTGGGTGGGACGAGGCTCCCTCCTGGTGCTGGGGGACGAGGCTTCTGGTGCTGGGGGGGACGAGGCTCCTGGTTTCAAAAGAGACTCTCGGACACCATCAGTTTATTCTGAAATTGAATTCTTTTGTTTTAAAACTCTTGGCTTCCCGGAAACATTTTTTACCCAGGACCCAAATGGTGGAGGTGCTGACGACACAGGAAGTTGCGACGAGTCTTGTAAAGCTTTTTATTTAAACTAACGATCGACGTAGTGAAGCAGGCGTTGGTGTTTTGCAAATTTATTATTTACATTTACAAATATAACCTATTTACATTTATTTTTCCATCTTATTTATTACAGAATAGGCTCGAGTGGTTTTTTGTATTGTGGGGCTCCTGGCGGGTCGGACTGGGGCGGTGAATGTGGGTTTTGTCCATAGATAAAACGTCGTTTTTAAATGCTGAGAGATCACAATGTCTGAGAGTGAGTGGAGTTCTCTCAGCTAGGCTTGTACCTCATGACTGCTGTTCTCTGCACAGAGCATTGGTTATCGCCTTTATATCAAGGACACAAGTCCCTCGTGTCGAATGTCTATAGATCAGGGATCTTTCGGACAGTTCAGATATCGTGTGTGTGTGGTGATATATGATGTCTGGTTATACTAGCAGATGACAGTTTATACAACTCGCCTGTATAATCATGGGTGGTTTCCGCCGCGATAAATTTAGCTGTTGTGTGTAGCAGGGAGTGAGGAAAAGGTTTGGCCTTTCATACCCTCGCTAAAGGTTTGGATAAACCCTTTCTCCCACTCCCAAACACATCAGTGAAGTAATTATCAAAAAAGGCGCCAAGCTGGGCACACGTCAGTGAACTAGAAGTTACCCAATCAGATGCGTGTGTATGGTTAAAATTGCATTCTGATTGGTGCTCTGTGGGAAAGGCTTTAAGTGATACGAGGTGTAAGTTCCGCCATCTCACTTTGAACTCCAACTAATCAATTTTGGGAAGGAGAGATGGGGTATAGACATGACCTCCTCCACAGCTATAGTTGTGTCACTCCCAAAAACTTTTCCAGAGCTCCACCTACGGGCTATTCACGCCCGTGCCACCTCTTGGGTGGCTTAATCTTCACCAGTCATCATCTGTAGCTCCAGGGTCCCGCCTCTCTCTCGTCGCTTGCAGCTAGTATTGGCCAGCTGGTCTTACCGGGCTCTCGGGAGTGCTCTCATCCAGGATTGTTTCCAACATTACTATACGAGCTAGCTAGCTAGCTAGCTAGCTAGCTAGCTAGCTAGCTCTCTCACTCTCTCTCTCTCTCTCTCTCTCTCTCTCTCTCTCTCTCTCTCTCTCTCTCTCTCTCTCTCTCTCTCTCTCTCTCTCTCTCTCTCTCTCTCTCTCTCTCTCTCTCTCTCCACACTCATCTGACTCCAGGTAACGATGCTTGTTAACGCCTTCCTGCCAACCTTGTTTTCCTCTCCAGTGTAGACCAGCACAGCTTTGTTGTCCTTTGAGTGTGTGTGTGTGTGTGTGTGTGTGTGTGTGTGTGTGTGTGTGTGTGTGTGTGTGTGTGTGTGTGTGTGTGTGTGTGTGTGTGTGTGTGTGTGTGTTTTTGTGTGTGTTTTCATCTAAGGCAGCAGTTCTAAGCATATGATCTCTGCCTTATACATATAATTAAACAAATGTATGGGGCCACATTTTCTGCCAATGACCATTAAATGCAATGACTTTGATACCTCAAATTTCTCGTTGTATAGGAGAGACATGATTGCGACGTTCAAAATATTCAAAGGAGTAGACTACCTAACACAGAAGAGATGTGAATAACAATAATTTGGTAAGAATCAAACCATTTAGAATACGATTATAGAACTACAGGACTGTAACCTAACCTGTGGTGAACGATACTTCTAGTGTAGTTGGTGGGCCCTCAGCCCCTGCCTGAGGTACAAGGGGCCCCGTCACTGTCATGAACAGTGCCTCTAGTGTAGCTGGTGGGCCCTCAGACCCTGCCTGAGGTACAAGGGGCCCCGTCATTGACATGAACAGTGCCTCTAGTGTAGCTGGTGGGCCCTCAGACCCTGCCTGAGGTACAAGGGGGCCCCGTCACTGTCATGAACAGTGCCTGTAGTGTAGTTGGAGGGCCCTCAGACCCTGCCTGAGGTACAAGGGGCCCCGTCACTGTCATGAACAGTGCCTGTAGTGTAGTTGGTGGGCCCTCAGCCCCTGCCTGAGGTACAAGGGGGCCCCGTCACTGTCATGAACAGTGCCTCTAGTGTAGCTGGTGGGGCCCTCAGCCCCTGCCTGAGGTACAAGGGGCCCCGTCACTGTCATGAACAGTGCCTCTAGTGTAGTTGGTGGGCCCTCAGACCCTGCCTGAGGTACAAGGGGCCCCGTCACTGTCATGAACAGTGCCTCTAGTGTAGTTGGTGGGCCCTCAGACCCTGCCTGAGGTACAAGGGGCCCCGTCACTGTCATGAACAGTGCCTCTAGTGTAGTTGGTGGGCCCTCAGACCCTGCCTGAGGTACAAGGGGCCCCGTCACTGTCATGAACAGTGCCTCTAGTGTAGTTGGTGGGCCCTCAGACCCTGCCTGAGGTACAAGGGGCCCCGTCACTGTCATGAACAGTGCCTGTAGTGTAGCTGGTGGGCCCTCAGACCCTGCCTGAGGTACAAGGGGCCCCGTCACTGTCATGAACAGTGCCTGTAGTGTAGCTGGTGGGCCCTCAGACCCTGCCTGAGGTACAAGGGGCCACGTCACTGACATGAACAGTGCCTGTAGTGTAGCTGGTGGGCCCTCAGCCCCTGCCTGAGGTACAAGGGGCCCCGTCACTGTCATGAACAGTGCCTGTAGTGTAACTGGTGGGCCCTCAGCCCCTGCCTGAGGTACAAGGGGCCCCGTCACTGTCATGAACAGTGCCTGTAGTGTAGCTGGTGAGCCCTCAGCCCCTGCCTGAGGTACAAGGGGCCCCGTCACTGTCATGAACAGTACCTGTAGTGTAGCTGGTGGGCCCTCAGCCCCTGCCTGAGGTACAAGGGGGCCCCGTCACTGACATGAACAGTGCCTCTAGTGTACCTGGTGGGCCCTCAGACCCTGCCTGAGTCACAAGGGGCCCCGTCACTGTCATGAACAGTGCCTCTAGTGTAGCTGGTGGGCCCTCAGCCCCTGCCTGAGGTACAAGGGGCCCCGTCACTGACATGATCAGTGCCTGTAGTGTAGCTGGTGGGCCCTCAGACCTTGCC